ATGGGTAATTATTGAGGCTTCTATATAAGGGTCCCATTTCGGTGCTCACACTCGGACAAGCCAGGCAAAGCTCTTGGCGCATGGTCGATTGAGGTGAAGCACTTCCCAAGACGGATCGATTTCTCGAGAATATCATGTAAGGTATCATTGCCGTTTGCCTCCCTGGGCACCCAGAGCGGCCATTCCCGAGATGCACCGACACCCCTCCCCCCCCCATCTTTTTGCCGGAGGAAGGTGGAAGACCCCTCTGTCTCTCTCTCCCTCTCTCTCGGTCTCTGACCGCGAGGAGGTGCGGCTACTGGAAGCTGCTTGACCGCGGAGTCAGCTTCCCTTTGAGATGGCAGTGTCGGGAGACATTGGCAGTATATGGGTTGACAGCACTGCAAGGTTTTACACTTTACTCTCGATAATTTTTACGTTACGTAGTCGCCAAAGTTCCCTACCTAGTATCCCGCCTGCCGAGGGAAGACCGCTCTCCACTCCAAGGTCACCTTTTTCTTTGCGTTCGGCGTTTCGACTTTAGGACTTGGGGTTACGGCTCTGCGACATCATCAGCCACGCATTCCAGGCTGAGCCTTCTTCTTGACATTGATACCACGGCTCCGTTTGGCTTGCTTGCAGGGAGTGCTGAGACCGAGCGCGGCTTTCCCAAGAATTCGAAGGGTTCCACGGTTCCACATGTTCGATATACATGATATACTGCATACTCTTCGGTTTGCCCTGTCGTTGTGTTTGACTGGTCGGCAAGAAACTACGGCTGTGGCTGCTTCGCTGGGCTCTCTCATTTTGGCATTCTTGCTTGCCCGAGAGTAACCGGAAGAAAAGGCCGCATTGAAGGAAAGTGTGCTGAATGCCACCAGTGTGGTGCTGCTGCATGGGATGCCATCCTTTTCGGACCTTTTTCAGCCCAGGACCAGGATCTTTTCCTTAATTCGGCTAGCACATCAGTCAAATGTACGGACCGTACTGTTGCTTGCCTCTTGACTGTTGGGAGTCCTTCCCGGCACACCGACAACGTTTGCAAGTTGACCTTGAAACCGGGGCTGGAGCCGACAACTTGTCACCAGAGCCATGGTTTCAACCGAAAACTTCCCAAGTTTGCATCCCAACACACCGAGCGTCGCAGCCTAAGGAGGAGCCCGCGGATCTTGATGCCCAAGGCCTCGCTCCAGCAACTTCGCATGACGAGGGGCGCTTTCAGAGTCGTTCGTTTTGCAGCCCCCGTGGCTCTGGGTGCACAGCTAAACAGGAGCACCAGCATGCTGAGGGCTTGTGCATAGCCCATCTTTTGCTTTTGCAGTATTCGCCTGACTTAACAGATATGCTTTCAGGCTACCTGACAGGCGGGGTTGGTTCAAGAGAAGCTGCCGGTGCAAGTATCGCGATTCTGCCAGCAAAAACAGCAAACAGTGGCCCTCCCATCGCTTCCTTGTGGGTTCTAAGCCGAGTGGATTTACAAAGTAAGAGGCGTGCAATCGCTGGTACAGCGGGATGTTGACAGCGTGGAAAGGTGAATACTACAAGGCTTGAGATCAGCTTATGTCGAGAATCGATAGGTTGACGTCATCATTATGGCAGATGAAGCTGGCTAGCGACCACTGTCGCGTAGACAGGCAAACTGGATATGCGACTTCGCTTTATATCAAGGACACGGTGCCAGAAAGCTTGATAGATGCCAGCGTATGTGCTTTCCAGATGTGAAAGCTTCAATGCACACATAGTTAGACCCTAACCCAGAAGATCCTGTTCAACTCCGTTGAGCAATCTCGCCAAGGCATCCGGATGTGTTGAATGCATCCCTGAGCACGCTCGACTGCGGTGATAAGGAGCCAAAGGCACCTCGACCTGCCACTTGTGAAACTGTAAGCTGTTCGTCGACCTCTAGCACTGAAGGAACTGGTTGGGTAGGCGACTTCGACCAGTGCTGAGTCCGAAGCGCTGCCTACCTTCTAAGGACCTGTGCCGCGAAGTCAAAAAGTGCCATGGATCAATGCTAGTGGTTTCGATGAGTTGGTACATAGATCGAAGATGTTGCAGACAGAGTATGAGTATGTGCGCCCTTCACCCGTCAGCGCAGTATTTCTGAGAGCTGCCCCCCAAGACCACATCAAACGACGCAGTGCGAGTTCGTTTCGGTTTTAAAGTAGCAATGACCCGCTGTAGTGTTACCATTACTGATATGACTATTGGCAGTATGACTTGTAACAGCGAGCCGACCACTGGAGGCTGAAAGCACACCGAGTGTCCTGGCAGGAGCAGTTGAGGCACCTTGGATCCATTCAATTGATTCAAAGGTCCAGTTGGAGGCCTCGCAGCTGTAGGGTCCGTAGTAGGGTGCTTTGGGGGGGAGGTAGTCGAGGAAGACCAGCCTTCGAAGCATTCTGCTGTATCTGATACTCTGTTGGATCTTCAGATTCCTGCTCTTCTCAGGTATCGCTTCTTGCTGACATCGGCTCCGAAGTGCACCTACACGGGGCGCGTCTATCCGTTTGTGGCCTCGAATTCCGTGGTGGCCATGCCCGTCTCTGAGCTTTGTGTTCAAATCCTCAGCCTCAGTCTCATGCTGAAGCTGGAGGCCCCCCATCCACCTCTGAGGTTTTCTAACGGTCGGCATGGCGTGAGCCAAGCGATTTATGCAGCCCTGCAGGAGAGGGTTGGAGCTTCGATGAGCTTAAGTTCCCTGAACTTCAGATCTGATGTCTGGGAGATTCTGTGGCCGTGATTAGCGCCGTCAGTGGAGGACAACGTGCATGTCAAGCTCGTGCACGAAAAGGCCTTCGTGGAAGAGATACGACACGCGGCTGCAGCTGCTGCATTCGAGCGTCCACAGACATGGAAATTTTGAAGCATGGGCCTGTCTGCGAGTTCTCCAAGGAAACATGCAAGCTTCTTGGAGAGAGCTCGCCGCTCTACCTCCACGTGCACAGCCACTTGCGCCAGAAAAGCAACACTTTACCATCTACGGAACACTCTCCCCAAGCCAGCAAGGATCCCTTATTCAGCAAGTGTCCGAGTGCAGCAAAAGCCCAGCAATGTAGTTTGCTAGTCGACCGGCATGAGATTTGGCTGGAAGCACTTTCAGAAGGAGTCTTAGCCGCAGCTCATCGCCCGCGTGAAGCATTCCACCCTTCAATCCGATCCCGAAGCCGCCCAGGGCCGCAGAATTCTCAGAAGTTGGAAAAAGCTTCGAGCTTTCGCTTCATCGTAAATAAGAAGTGATCGTGTAATTAGCATGGGGCAGGCGTAGACATCAGTACCGATGTGAGCCTGATCCCCTGTTTCCCTTAAGCAGTGCCCTTTGTGCAGCCTGCTGCAAGCACCTCTGCAAAGGTTGCAGAGTAATGTAGGGGCCTTGATAATTAGAACAGAATTTTGGGGGTTCCTTATTTTAAAGTATAATGAAACCCTACACCCTATCCCATCCTGATCATCAAGGCCCCTGTTATATCAGATTGGAAGATCTTGGAACAGCTGAGGTCTGTTTACGACTGGGCTACGAGCAGTGATGTTCGGATCTGCTACATGTATGAGCTTTTGCGCTCCTACAGGCTAGGGTTTAGGATTCAGGGTATAGGGTTTAGGGTTTAGGTTCTGCTTGATGCTCACATCTTGAGGGACTGACGGGTGATGGGTTGTTCTACTCCACGATGTTTCAGCCCTTATAATCAGGATCCGATCCGTCAGGGTTCTACATCAGGATCCCCACTTTCGAAAGGCCCACATGATGCCCGGAGTTGAGTGCTCGAGCTTTGTTTTGCCTCAAGCCCATGCCGCGCACGATGATCAGGACGAAGCTGGCCTACAAGCCGTCATCCGATGGAACCATTGCGAGGCTGTTGAAGACGCACCCAGGCACAAAAAGCATTTAGTTCGGTCGCATGGAGTCTGAAATGCAGGGATATATGAATGCGCATCATTCTCGCTGAGAGCCATATTTGCATGTCTTGTTCTGAGGACAACTTCCTCGTGCGGACATCAGAGCTACAAGCCGGGATCAGCTGCTCGGCAAGAGAACCCATCATGCTCGGAGCCATCAATCCAAGTTGGTCTGCACTTGAGGAGATGGTACGCGCGGACAAAGGTCGCCGCAGCTACTGCCCCTTTGACAGCACGGTGCATCAGCACTAGGATGTGCGCAGCTGCACCTCAGCATTTACTCAGAGTTCAGAGGGTCAACGGATTTGTTGGTTGCAGTCTTAGGGGCACTGGAGCAGCGTCTGCCACAAGGTTGGGCACGGAACGGTTCTTTTCTCTGAAGGGGTTTGGGCTCCTGAAGCGGCTAAAAGGAAAGCCCTTTGTATGTAGCCTCCGAGGTGTCGAGTCTTGGCCGGTTCCCTCGAACGCCTCCATGGGTGAGGCAGCCTTCACAAAGTGGTGTGCTCAAGTGCAAGCTCGAGCCCCGAAGTTCTAGGTCCCAGGTATCTCCTTGGCGAATTGTGCCAGGAGCTGTAAAGACTGTTGCAGGGAGCTCTGCTATCAAAAGAACTTGCCTTTGTCCGTGCCGTCCTGGCTTCGGGGTTTGCGTCCGGGCTTCGAGGGTATCAGGCAGCACTTGCGCAAGCGGCGGAATCCTAGGGCAAGCCGTCAAACCATGGACAAGGCCTGACAGCCCGATAAGAGACACAGTCAAGGGCTGGTGCATGCCAGGGTGGTGACTTGACCTGGAGCTCGAGCCACCTCGCATAACTGCATAACCTCATGTTATTCAACTTCTTGCTACTGCGAAAGAGTTCCGGGTGTGAAGACTATGCCTATGTACAAGTAGCAGAAGCTGCGGTACTCGCGGCTTCGTCACGGCTTCCATCGGCTTCCCTTTTTTTGTTTGTGCGGCACGGGCTTCGAAACAAAGTTTCTGCAGCAGGCATCACACCTTGTTCGCTTCTTTGCAGGGAGTCGTGAGCCTTGCTAGAAAAACTTGGTGACAAATTGCAGCCCTACCAGCACCTTGTCACAGGAGCACATCTGAAAGTTGCGCAATCCTGCGTCCATGCATGTGAGCGTTGGGCGTAGCTTTAAGCGGCTCAGTTTCGTCTGAAAGATCTACTCACGGGTATTGCGCTATGCAGCGTTTCCCACGAGGACACAGGCACGGAAGAAAGGATGCTGCAGCATTCCATCCCGCTGTCGTTGCGCCTCGTGTGTCTTTGGGCGCCAGCGAGCAAGAAGACTCTTCGGAGGACTCTTACGTGGAGTCAGACTCAGAACGTGTCTGCTACATCTCTCTGGCATCGGCTCAGGAGGAGGACACTGTCCTTGGCCTTGGCTTGTTTGTGCACCGTCGAACACGCCGTCAAGTCCGCTTCAGGCTCCCGCACGATGTCTCCTTCAGCATGGATTACCTGGACGTGAATGCTTTCAACACGGGGCTGCAAGCGATGAAAGATCAGGGAAGGGAAGCTGCCCTGGTGTCATCTTCCCGTGGCCAACTAAATGCTTGGCTCCCACTCTTCGTCGACGGAAAACACTGGGCACGGGCAATGCCATATGTTGAGTCGGCTGTCGTGGCCCTATCCGGTGGACCTTGTACAGCCTTCCCCGAGACAGCTCTGTCAGTATGCTGTTCGTTGCTGACCCAGGCTGCTGTCTCACTGAGTCTCGGGCAGGTGACTGAACGTGCTATACAGATGTATGGAGACGCTCACAGGTTGCTACTGCAGTTGGCGCATGAGTGGCCTGAGCTGCAGCAGGTCGCTCACCGTCGCTTGCGATTGTTTCTGCATCATCCGGAGTCTCGACTGCGCCATGTGACCCCTACTTTGGGCGATCTTCTGCACTGCATGCTCATCGTTGACGATCTGGAGTGGGGCGATTTGCAGGCGGTGGTTGTTCCCGAAGCTTTGCGACGGCAGGTTTGGCGCCAGGAGTGTGGAGGCTACGTCTTCGATGCATCCTCGGATGGGACAGCTGCAGGCATCATTGCACAATGGGACATGTTCGCCCCAGATGCATGTAAAGTGCTCTGTTTCATAGCCTCCTACATTAGTAAAGTTGGTCGACCAAAGGGCTCCTCACTCGAAGATATGATGGCAGCCTTCGACCGGAACTGCGGCCACTTGCCGAAGGCACATGAGGAGATCAACCAGCTGTGCGGTTCTCTGCAGCAGGCAGCAGTGCGGGATATCCTGGATATGATGGGCGCATCCTACTCCGAGGAGTTCCTTGCCGAGACGGTACTCTGGGCTGTCAGGCACGGTTCACGGCAGTGGACCGGACCCGGCTCACGAAGGGACTCTGTAGCAGCAGAGGGCTTAGAGGGGCCCGATGAGATGTGCCCCCTGCTCCGCCGGCTCCAAGACGGCAAGGCCCTGAGACCCAAGAGAAGAACTCGCACTTCGAAATGCCATTGGAGGCCCAAGCGACAGGCTGAAACGCCTTGTCAGGCTCCATCCCTGCAGGAGCTCGAAGAGGCAACCTACAGCGCCTACAGGCACCTCGAGTTTCAGAATGCGGTGCTCTGGAGCTGGCTGGTGTACTATGACGCTGGATGGGCTTGGTCGGCTTGGTGGAACTACAGCTGGTAAGAGCTCGTGGCATCCGGTGAGTTCGTGGAATCAGACCATCCTCACGCTGTGCGGCTAGCAAGTAACCCTCTTCGGCACAGCGTCACGGCCTTGGCTGTGATGCTCTGTACAGCTTGCCCAGGTCTCACTTCCCTAGCTCTATATGTACAGTGGAGGCATCTGAGAAAAAGGGGGAGAGCCGAGCTCCTGGCAGCTGGCGTCCGCTTCGCTTGAAGCTTGATCATCGTCGAAGCTTGGAGGCTCCTGAGCTAGATCAGCTAGACGAGGTTGTCAGACATCCCAGGGTTTAGGCTTTGGGTTACATCTTTGCAGCCGTGAGCAGCTAACATGAACTGCCTGCATCGAGCAAAGGACAGGATGGCTGGCACTGTAAGCTGAAATTCATGCATGCCATCACATGACTTCCTTCGGCACCGTGCTTCAACGAGCGCAGGACCGATCGCTTGGCTTAGGAAAGCTCACCCTGGGGCACTAGACGACGCTGAAACCCGAATGCCAGGATGAAGCTACGCAAAATCTCTTGGGCATGGCCGCGGCCCTAGCCGCAACAGTCAGTCAGACACCGTCCTCTTTGCGAGACCCTGACACTACAATAAGCCTGCAACAGGGCCGTTCAAAAGCATCACCGGTAAAGAGACAGACCCGGCTCTGGTATTTATAATTTATATAATACTAGTTATACTATATTATATATTATAGTTAATATTAGTCGGGACTTCGTACCTCGGTGCCCAGGTGCAGGAAAGCGGCGCGGCACCCCAGCCGCCGCAGCCACCCCTGCCGCCACCACAGCCGGTGCAGGCATCAGGCGCGAGCTCTCGGATTTCAAGGGCTGGACCGGGTGCTCCAGAAGTCCGAGAGTGCTACTTGATGCTCCTGAGTGTCTGAGAGGCATGCCATCTCTTTGATTCTCCTAGTCCAAGAGGTCTCTTTGATTCCCGAGGCGAATACCCAAGAACCCTTAAGCAAACTGAGTGCCTCAGGTGGAGGCCCGCCAATGCAGCTGGCCTGCACTTGAGGGGTTTTGGTACCTCAATGGTCTCCATAACATGCGTACTTGCTATCAGGGTGCTGTACTATTCTGGGACACAGAGAGGGGCCCTAGTTTAGAGAACTCATTCTGCAGTGTCACTGTTTAGGGCTGGGACCACCATTGAGCGGGGTAAAGGGGGATTGCAGAAGACCCACTGCATCCCAACCTCAACCTTTACATACTCCAAGTTCAGCTTGTCCTCCTTTGACCTGCAGTTGTTTGCAACACGACACTATGGCAACCCAGCATTTCTGAGCTAAACGATGTCATGTGATGTGAACAAGCTCTCCCCTGAACCGGCCTATACTGTACCGGTCTAGAAAACTCTCTGACCTCTTGCCAGCCTTGTGCCTCGCGAGCGTGTAGTTGCATACGAGTTTGGGAGATTGATCTAGGTTCCTTGCATGCCAGCAGGGTTTGAAGAGAAATCCCCACAATCAAGCCGAACTCGTTTGGGGGTGCGAGACGCTGCGAGCTTGGAAGTACATCTTTCTGAAGGCAAATGATGTGCCTATTATATTGCTAGAAAAGGAGGGGCGGATGCATGTATCACCCTAAACCCTAAACCCAAAACCCCAAACATCAGTGCTTGAATCGGATGTGACCGCAGCCTCTATCAAGCTCCTGTATGTGGGAAGCTTGCCAGGGCACCTTCAACCATCCATCTTCATATAGAATCCAGGGCTTGACAATGTGGGTGACGATGTGGGGTACAATGAAAGCATGACCTGCAAGACACAAGCACTTCCAGGATATAATATTATATATATACATACATACATACATACATACATACATATATATATATATATACACATATCAATATATATGCATTTATATATATCTCTATCTATATCTGTGTGTGTGCGCACACACACAAACACAGAGTATACACTCTCAAAGTGTCTGCATGCAGAGATGAACCCTAAATCCCCCTCCAATAAAACCCTAAACCCTAAAAGCTTAAACCCCCTCCAAAAAGTCCTAAACCAACCCTGAACCCCAAAGCCATGAAAGAGCCCGAGGCCCCCTCCCAGCGACGTGGCCGCTGCCCGCCCTGCCTCTTTGGAGGCACGGTTTGGGGGTTTTAGGGTTTAGGGGTTAGGGGTTTAGGGGCTTAGGGTTTAGGGTTTGGGGGTTTGGGGTTTAGGCGTGTAGGGGTTTCGGGGTTCAGGGTTTAGGGTTTCGGGGTTTAGGGTTCAGGGGTTTAGGGGTTTCGAGGTTTAGGGTTTAAGGGTTTAGGGGCTTACGGGCTTACGGGTCTAGGGTTTTTTTGCTTGTTTGGTTTTGCACAGGATTGAACCCTCTCGCATGGAAGTGAAGTGAAGTTTGGAGAGGGTTGAGGGGTTTTTGGGGTTCGGGGCATCAGGGCAGCTCGCAGGCGTATACCACTGTAGCTCCTGGGGGGCAGGCATGAGAAAAAGACGAAGCTTAAGGAGATTGTCGATGCCAAAGCTAGACTGCTAGACGATGCTGAATTTCAAAGTTCAGCAAAAGGTGTCCGCTCTTCAGATCGTGCCTTCCAACTTTTTGTCGACACCTTGCAATCTCTTCGTTGTTTGGGGTCAGTGCCGTCGCCCGATATCAGAGTGAAAGGCGCTGCAAGATGCAACGTCTCGGCTCATGGGCGGCGATCGGCCGCTTGGTATGATTCTTTAGGGTTTTGGGGTTTAGGGTTTAGGGGGTTAGGGTTTTAGAGTTCTCAGCAAATCAGGGGTGTTCAGCTGTACGGCGGCCACAGATTAAGAGAGCTTGGCTGCGCTCCATTGTGCGCGGACAGCACAAGCAGGGTAACCTTCCGGTCTGGGAAGTGGCTCAGCGGAATTCCTTTCGCGAGCTTAGGGAGGGCTCTGGACT